GAATATTAAATGTGAGGACTAAATGGGGGGAGCCAAGGAATAGTGCTGCCTTACCCCAAATGTAGGGAACCTCATGGATTTGGTTCGTTTATAACTCGACATTACCAAAGAAGCAAATGGCTGAAACGAGCCCCCAGGCAGGACGTTACTTTATTACCTACCCTTGGGGGGCTTGTAAAGAGCACTTGATTAGCTTTCACCACAATTAAACTTTCTACACCTAAAGGACACACGAGATGGTGGCTTCTATCAAGAGGTAGAGATGGGCTTATAATTGGCCTTAATTTAAGTAGGAAAGAAAGGGATAATGAGGAAAGAAGCTTTTAAAAATATATCTAGTCAAAACTGGAAACCAACGGGCTTTTAAAACTATGACTCCAAAATGGCAAATATTCTCCACATATTGATTGTATTTTACCATTTCTAGACACTTTTTTTTTTAAGAGGTTTTTGCTATAGGGCACGTGTGCTCACCAGACAGACAGAGACAGACATAGAGACAGAAAGCGAGAAATCACCCCCCCCTCGGGGGGATGGTCACGCCACAATCCCTTCTCCTCCATTCTCCTCTCAGGATCTTGGGCACGCATGCACACACACCCGGTGTGAGTTTAAGCCACCGGGTCCAGGACTTGAACTGCAGTCGACTACATGGGAGTTCAGCGACGTAAGCATTAAGCTAACTGCTAGTCCCTATTTTTTTGGAGAGATTTTTGTTATAGGGCGCATGTGCTTGCCAGACAGAGAGAGAGACAGAGAGACAGAAAACGAGAAATCACCCCCCAGGGGTGATGGCCACACGGCAATCCCTTCTCCTCCATTCTCCTCTCGGGATCTTGGGCACGCACGCACACGCACCTGGCATGAGTATAAGCCACCGGGTCCGGGACGTGAACCACGGTCAACTACATGGGAGTCCAGCGACATAGCCATTACACTAACTGCTGGTCCCGCATTTCCAGACACTTTTTAAGGAGCAGTATGTTGTAGTGAAGCAAAAGAGTGTAGGAGAAAAGGACAAAAATGACCAAACACTCCAAAGTTCTGAAGATGCCAATAGTCAATCGCCATGAGAGTGGATCTATAATCACAAGTGACAAGAAGAATTAATTCACACAAAGAAGGGGAGAAAACTTGAATTAATGCTCTTAAAGTCAAGCCAACCATGAACTCAGAGAGAGCAAGGGCTACCTGTTCTAGAGTGTCCCTGAGGCGCTGACAGTTCTATCTAGGATGAGAGATGCTATAGATGGCCTTCTGCACAATGACTGCCCTGCATCCCATTATTCTGAAGCTTAAAGAAATGATATTTTTTGAAAAAAAAAAAAAAAAGAAAGAAAGAAATATTCCTCCTACATTGCTTACGCATCTGTAGTATGAATGATTTCCTGGGAACTAATAGCAGGGAAGCTACTCATGTCCTCCCATTATGAGCTTCATGCAGACCATAAACAGCCAGAGTAGAGGACTATGGGACACAGGTTTGACTCAACATGAGGACTGTTTGCACTAATGATAAAATAATTAGTCCTAAATGTATGAACTCCAATGAGCACCCTATCTAACAAAAAAAGGCCATTTCAAGAAATACATGAATATATGAAGTTGTCAGAAAAGGAAGTCGGGAACCAGCAGTTGGCGTAATGGCTATGTCGCTGGACTCCCACATAGTCGACCGCGGGTCACGTCCCAGACCCGGTGGCTTAAAACTCACGCCGGGCGCGTGTGCATGTGTGCCCAAGAGCCCGAGAAGAGAATGGAGGAGAAGGGATTGTGGCATGGCCATCCCCCCTGGGGGTGATTTCTCGCTTTCTGTCTCTATGTCTCTCTCTCTCTGTCTGGCGAGCGCAAGTGCCCTATAGTGAAAATCTCTCCAAAAGAAAAAGAAGAAAAGGAAGTCATGGTGTATTTTTCTATGCAAGTATGTGTCATGACTCTTCTGATAATGCAATAGAATAAAAAAAAATTGATCTCAAAAGTAGAACCTTTGGTCACTGGCTTGGCAACCACAAGGAAACTTTATATTGCATATAATAGGTTGTGTCAGAGTCAGATATTTAATTATCTGAAAAGCAACTCTTTACACGGAAAATGTTCTGAGAGTTCTCAAGAGAATTATAAGCAAAGATGCAAGAAAAGACTCCATTATCGTGTGTAGCAATTTCACTTTCTTCTTTATTAAAAATAAAATGTATTATCCAAATACGCTACAGTCTACAATACCTCAAGCTGAGTCTTTCCTGTCCCTCACTAATCCTAGCGACCATCTATAAGATGAGTGCAATTTGGCCTGGACTTCGAACCACAGCAGTTGACTTCAAGGTTGAGCACAGGCCAATAGTTTGACTATTCTTCAGAAACAATATAATCTGTTCATAGTGGCTGAAGGTGGAAGGGGGGACAGCTAAAATTAGATTTTTTTTCCTTCACTCACATAATTTGAATATTATAGAATGTGGTTTTTAAAGGTCAGAGTGAATTACTAATTAAGTTGAGGTATTTGAAATTAGCAAATAAAATGGCTACTCAGAATAATGACAAAAAAGTCATTAATCATATGGGGGAAAATGGCAGCAAAGTGGAGCCAGCAGTAAAATTATTTTTTAACTAGTTACCAGAGAGCCTTCAGATGATGGTCTTAAGAAACTGTTGGGTATTGATCCCATTCTTTTCTCTTTAAGCTCTATTTTGTAAAACAAAAACAAAAAAAATTTTCATCAGTTTTCTAGGAAGACACAAGAAAAGCAGAAAGTCATCTAAACAACCTGTCTTGCAGTGATTCAGAACCACGTGGACTACTCCTAACTCCCCATCCACACAGTGAGTGAAGAAAGTAAGCATTACATTATCATAGGCACAACTCTTTTGGAGAGGTTTTTGCTATAGGGCACGTGTGCTCAACAGAAAGACCGAGAAAGACAGACAGAAAGCGAGAAATCACCCCAAAGGGGGGATGGCCACACAGCAATCCCTTCTCCATTCTCCTCTCGGGGTCTTGGGCACACAGGCACATGCGCCCAGCATGAGTTTAAGCCACTGGGTCTGGGACTCGAACCACAGTCAACTACATGGGAGTCCAGCGACACAGCCATTACGCCAACTGCTGGTCCCCAAACTCATTCTATTTTTGTTATATAAATCACTGACAAATTTTGGCACATTAACTATTATAATAATTACTTAATATACTTTTATTTTTTAATTGCCAGAGAGTGTATGCACTCACCAGAGAGAGATGGGAGACAGAAAGAGAAAAAAAGAAAGCACCCTCCAATGGGACATGGTCATGCACACTCCCTTCTCCTCCATTTCACCCTTCTGCCATCATGTGGGGCATTATGCACTCATTTTTCCAGTCCCTGGGGTCAGGTGTTGAACAGCCATCTGCCATACGGGATCCAGCTTCCTCAACCACCGGGCCACAGGGCCAGCCCTTACTCAGCATACTCTTTAAACCCAATGCTGACTGCCCCTTTTGGAAATGCCTCTCTAAAAGCATTTTGCTTTTGCTTCCAGGAGCTTCCTCCTCGGTGCAGTATTTTCTAGTCTTAGTTTTGTTGCTTGCTTTTCATCTATGCTGGGACTCTTAGGACTTCATTTCACATCAAGATTTTTGTGTATTAAATTTAAAGCCAAATTTACAAATGTGAATATTACCATGAAATATCCAGACAGTTAATTTGACATGCATACCATAAGCTAGAAAAACAAATTAAGGCAGCATTAATATAAAGATCTGTATTTGTAAGCACTTGATATTTATTAGCTAATCCACATGACAAACCTATGAGGTAGTATAGCATGCGTTTAATAGGAATAAATTAGGTAAGAACCAGAAAAAGAAAAAATATCTGTCCCCACATGAATATGTTGATCAGACATGACTTCTTCTGGTCACTAAAGGAAAAACAGTTTCTTGAACAAGTTGGTCAAATGAACCATAATAGTTAGCTTGGGTGGGATATAGAGAATGTAGTTATTTTATTACCTGGCAGTTTAGAAAAGTTATTTGCTTACTGAGATTCCAATACTCTCTTCACACTGACCTATCAGAAATACCTTACTCAAAAGACTGGCTTTGGAAAAGGTGTGACTCCTCCCTCCCCAACTCTGCCCAAGACTCACATTTCTTTATGTGAGAATTAGTTGGTTGTTGTTTGTCTTATATATATTTCATATTTTTTGTCTTCAGGTCTGTTTGGTCTAATAAACTCACTTCAACAGAAAGGTATAAACACCCTTGCAGTTTCAATTTATGTGTATATGTCATCTAAGAGACAAATGATAAACAAATCCTATTGGTCTTTGTAGTCAAGCAATTATAGACGAGAGTTTTATTACTACTTTTATCTGCAGAAAGAATCACTGTAATCCCTCTACTTAACAGATCACTTTACAGCCATATTTATTAGTTCACTGAGCTGCAGAGATTGTATATAATAAAAGCTTATTAATTTGGGTTTCACTACGATGGTACCTATGGCCTCTGTCACCGGTGCTAGCCTGGAGTTTACTCTGGATTGAAGGAGAAACACATTTTTGTAAAACAAATGGATTCCATGACCAGGACAACAGAAGGTTTTATCTCTAAGAAGACAGGCCATGTCACTGAGTATTCCTTTAAATACAAATCATCTTACTCTAACATGAGGACTCCGTTAGGCTGGTGTGTTATGTCAATTTTGAAGTGCTTTTTTCCCCTCATTGCAGCAAAATTTCAAATAGGAAGCACTTGCTTAGTCCAGACAATATATTACCATAAGCACTCTAGAATGGTCAAAGTACTTTAAGTATTGATAATTTGGATGTTTTCACTTTTCAAATAAACAGTGTTCTCCCTCTTGTTCCTGAGTTGAGATTTTACAGCAAATCTCGACTCTCCCTGAATATCTGCTGTAATTAAGGGGCATCACCATGACCATCCCAGTGACTGAGCCATAGGACAGGGACTCTGCCAGGCCTCTCTGGGTCTCTTCCTTCTCCAGGGATCATTTGTAATCCTTTTTTTTTTTTTACATCCGCCTCCCATCCACTCAGAACCAAGTTAGAACGTTAGCTCTGAATTCTTAATTAAACAAACTTAACCATACCAAACCAAACAAGAATGAACGATAAACAGCTAGCTAGCTTCCCAATTAGGGATGTGTCCATTCAAGAATTCCCAAAATACAAACCACATTCATGACCCTTTCTTACATAAGTCTGGATCCTGCTGCACAGGCACACTTAAAGAAAGGAATCTGAAAACAGACGAAGACCTCTGACAACGTATTCACTTTCACTGGCCAGTGGCCAAGGACCAATAGAATCTAGATGAGAAATGCTGAACTAATCTGGTTATTACATCTGGAAGCATATCTATAAAGGTTTGGCTTAGCCTCTCTGCAAAGCAAAAGAAACCTATGTTCATAGGCATTTCTATATTAGGTTATTAAACAAACACACACATAACACTTCAGGCCATGAGCTCACTCACTAAATACAAACAGAAACATTTTTTAAAACTCAGACAATGCTTATTTTACAGCAGAATGAAGAAATAAAGCCTATTTTACACAAAGAAAAGCCATCACGAAGTTTGTAGCTCTGTTGTGTGCTTTCCAAAACTGCAAAACAGAGAGTTTCCCATCCAACCCTCCTTCCTTCCCACAGGGAGCATGTGTCTGGGTTGGCTGCTTCTCTCTGCAGGCACTGAAACTGGCAGCCCTGGTCCCTCCTGAGTGGTCCCTCCTCAAGGGAATGGTGCCAAGTTTCAAGCCCAGGAAAACAGGCACCTGAATAACAACGCTGTGCATATCTGTGTCATTTTGTTTATTGCTCTCTGAGTGGTAACCACCTCAGCTCTCCGTGGAAAACAATGGATGTCCAGAAATCCCAACACCAGGAGACCAACTGCCCGTGGCCACCAAGTACTAAAGGCAGCCCAGCCAGATCCAGCGGCCGCACTGACGCATCACTAAGCAGAAGCTCAATGCTCAGTTTTGTGGCCATTCCCAAGACCCTCCTGTCGCCATGGAGAAAAATTAAACCTAGAGGAAGCACTTTATGGTTGCTCGCAAAGACATCCCCCATCAGAGAGTGACAGTCTTCAGTCTGTCAAACTGTCCAGTGATGTTCTTTCCAGGGGGAGTGAATCTTGGTTCAGCAATAAGACTCCAATGAGAAACAGAAGAAGGGGGGAACTCCACCTTACCCAAGGCTGCCATTTCTTCAGAGTTTCTCTACGTCTTTCCAAATCATCAGTATCCCTTACTGACCCCCATTATTCAGCTCACTTCATAAGCAGTCTTTACTTATTTCCCTCTTATTCTGGGCTTTATCATTCTTCCGGATGCCTCCCGGGCACATTTCACCAAGGTCAGCTGCCGTGAAGACGTGTTTTGCCTAAGAGCATCATCATGCAGGCAAACTAATTCTTTTCCTAAGCTATTTTTTGGCAGCTTGCAAAGAGGACTTGGCTTAACCTTGAGAAACGGTTCTTTGAGTGATCAGGAACAAAGGATGAGGATTCTTCCTTTATTTACGCTTTCCCTCTCATTGTTCCGACGGTCAACCTGGCTCCTGTGTTGGCAGGTGAACGAGAAGGACTGGTGTTTGTCTGATATAAATCTTCTACTAACAGTGATGTGTTCGAGTTCCTGCAGGTAGTCCCCAACTATGTCCAATGGAATGAAAAAAATCATGTTTATTTTTGGATAGACGTGGTTTACATCACAATCATTGAAGATTTAATAGAACAGCTGTATTCTGAGGAAATCTAGAATATGTTAGAAATTGAAATATTTCCACTGTCTTTAACTTTGAATCATGTTCTGACTGTTTGCTACAGGATTAGGATTTCAAACATGTGCTAAATGGTATCAGGAAAGAATAAAAATATCCTTTCAGATATCATAACTTAACCACCAACTTTAAAAAAAAAGAAAGAAAAAGAAACCTCATTCACTTTCCAAAATCAAGAGTTAGGTGAATCTGTGAATCCTCCTAAGAAATGTTCATTGTTCAAGAAAGAATCCTCCTCTGGTGGTGGTTAGGCAATTCTCCACAACAGAGAAAGGCTGACATGTTTTCATATGTCTTGATTGATGCTTTCACTACTTATTCTTCAGGCTGTAAGGCAGAAGAGAACAGAGTTTTACCTTCTTTCATAATTACATACTCCAACACACATGTGCACACTCGACCCTCTCTCTCTTTCCCTCCCTACCCCACATCACTTTATCAAATTCAAATAACACAGAATCCATAAGGTGAATCTTCAGGTTCTAAATAACCCGAGTCTACAATGACTCAATTACCAATAGCATTTCCATCCAAGTAGAAGGAAACTGATACTTCTATACAGTCAATCCAGATACCAAACTCATTTTGAATGTTCTTAAAACAAGGATGATAAATTGGTGCACGCTGCATCATGCAGTGTGCAGTATAACTACACGCAGAACCCCTCTTCTTGAGAGTGGAGAACAATCTGTAACATTCAGGTTTCAAATGAACAGAAGCCTCCTCTGTTCTTTCAGAACTTTTTGTTGGATAAATAGGAAAAAATGTTTCTGGCTTTACTCTGAAAAAGTACTGATTTAAATCAAATTGAATTAATTTTAAAGAGTTTTCCATTTTTTTTTTAAAAGAGATTATTGCTATAGAGCAAATGAACTCACCAGAGAGACAGAAAGTGAGAAATCACCCCCCAGGGTGGATGACCATGCCGCAATCCCTTCTCTTCCATTCTTCTCTTGGGATTTTGGGCGCACACACATGCAAACGTGCCTGGTGTGGGTTTTAATTTGTTGGGTCCAGATCTTTTTATTTTTATTTATTATTATCATAATCTTGTTTATATTACATTGAATCACATATACCTTTACAGTGTATTACATTTCTTTTTCCAGAAGGAATACCTTGCATATTAGTCAAGACAAAGACATTACTATCCACATCATTGTCATCAAATTGCTTTTCATTATTTTGGGGGGTCCAGATCTTGAACAGCGGTCAACTACATGGGAGTCCAGCAATGTAACTGTTACGCCATCTGCTTCCTTCTACATACATGGAAATGTTATTGGTAATTGAGTCATTTTTTTTTTCTTTTTGGCAAGATGATGCTACCATTTATTGCCTGCCTACTGTGTGGTAAGAATTTCACAGTAAGGGACCAATGCTGTAGGGCCGTGGTTAAGAATTTCCCATTTACTCTACACTGTAACTGAATCCCCAAAACCACCTTTAATGACTGGATGCCATTATCTATCCTCTCCCCCCCATTTTAAGGGTGAGAACACTGAGGCTTAAGTTGTCTGCGTTAATGGCACCAGATCCTACAGCTGATAAGGGCAGAAACTGAATCCTGGGAAGGACTAGAACCAGGAGGCAAACAGGCTTGTCAATATTATGTGCAAAGGCTTTTTTTCATGCTATTGAAGACATATTCTAGTTGAAACCAGGCTGCCAAAATGAACCCCTCTTCTTGAGAGTGGAGAACAATCTGTAACATTCAGGTTTCAAATGAACAGAAGCCTCCTCTGTTCTTTCAGAACTTTTTGTTGGATAAATAGGAAAAAATGTTTCTGGCTTTACTCTGAAAAAGTACTGATTTAAATCAAATTGAATTAATTTTAAAGAGTTTTCCATTTTTTTTTTAAAAGAGATTATTGCTATAGAGCAAATGAACTCACCAGAGAGACAGAAAGTGAGAAATCACCCCCCAGGGTGGATGACCATGCCGCAATCCCTTCTCTTCCATTCTTCTCTTGGGATTTTGGGCGCACACACATGCAAACGTGCCTGGTGTGGGTTTTAATTTGTTGGGTCCAGATCTTTTTATTTTTATTTATTATTATCATAATCTTGTTTATATTACATTGAATCACATATACCTTTACAGTGTATTACATTTCTTTTTCCAGAAGGAATACCTTGCATATTAGTCAAGACAAAGACATTACTATCCACATCATTGTCATCAAATTGCTTTTCATTATTTTGGGGGGTCCAGATCTTGAACAGCGGTCAACTACATGGGAGTCCAGCAATGTAACTGTTACGCCATCTGCTTCCTTCTACATACATGGAAATGTTATTGGTAATTGAGTCATTTTTTTTTTCTTTTTGGCAAGATGATGCTACCATTTATTGCCTGCCTACTGTGTGGTAAGAATTTCACAGTAAGGGACCAATGCTGTAGGGCCGTGGTTAAGAATTTCCCATTTACTCTACACTGTAACTGAATCCCCAAAACCACCTTTAATGACTGGATGCCATTATCTATCCTCTCCCCCCCATTTTAAGGGTGAGAACACTGAGGCTTAAGTTGTCTGCGTTAATGGCACCAGATCCTACAGCTGATAAGGGCAGAAACTGAATCCTGGGAAGGACTAGAACCAGGAGGCAAACAGGCTTGTCAATATTATGTGCAAAGGCTTTTTTTCATGCTATTGAAGACATATTCTAGTTGAAACCAGGCTGCCAAAATATTGGGTTGTTGGAAAAGTCATGATGTGTCTATGTTTCTCTATGCAACAACGCATCATGACTTTTCAGATGGCCCAGTAGTATCTTCTGGTAGTTGACTGTTAATCCTAAAGCTATATTTTAGGGAGGAGGATAGCAAAAGGGCTGCGGAAGTTTTGAATCCTTTGCATAGATTTCCCCATCCCTCGTTGATAAGATCCACATGTCTTAATGGCAATTTGGCCAATGAAAATGCAAAAGCTTCAAAGGAAAATGCTATCACTCACCTAGAAAATACATAGCATATGTCAAAATTTCATTTTCCAAGAACGGTGCAATCATACAACATTTTTAGGATATGAAAAAGAATTTGAATGTTGTTGGTATAACGCAGACCAAAAGAAAACATAGACTATATTTATTTGGAAAAAAGGAAAGCTTTGAAATTTTGCCTTGGAATGACCCTGGTAACCACAGCCACTTCTTACTAACTGTTATAAAAAGAAAAATCTTGTTTAAAAAAATCTCATATTCAGTTTTCACCATTATCCAGTCATGACTTAAGGAAAATCTGCAGTTGCTGTCATCTTCATAAATTAGTGTGACATTAAGGTTGAAAGTTCTCCCCAAGCAAACAAGTATAATTTCATTTTCATAAACTGCTAAAATGAACACTTTTCAAATTAAAATGAGTTTGAAGTTCAGCATGCCCATCTAATAGTAAGAACACTAAATATTTCTGTAGCTGAGCAGTCTTCAGTTATGATTAAATCGTTAGAGGAAACCAGATAAGTGTTTTGAGGGGTTTTTTTTAACTTATAGTAAAAGTGGTATATTAAGAACTTAATTCCATAACGAGGAAAAATATCATACTCTTCCTTTTTATAGTCAGCATAATTTTTCAGATCCTTTCTGAACACACAGAAGTAATGACAAATGAAAATGTCTTTCAATTCCATATAGCTTTTATAATTATTCATCCATTACTGTTATTATTGCTGGAAAGGCATCTTCCCATTTTAGTCAGCATTCCATTTGATAAAAAAGAACATGGAAAATTTCACTGCTATTAATAAGTATGCAGTCACCCAATCCCAGAAGAAAATTCTTTTTCATCTGAGAGATAAGCTGCATAATTCATGTATTTTCAGAAATTTCTTTAAATAGAAAATTGAAGAAAGGCATAGGGAAAAAAGAATTCATTACATAGTTTCCATTTGTGGTAAGGACAGTCTTTGTTCTCAGTCTTAAATTCCATTCAATTTGATAAGACAATTTCAGTATCATCCTATACATACCAATCACACTCATATAGCTCACTTGACTTTTTAATTTTACCTTTTTATTTGCCAAAAGTACATGTGCTCACCAGAGAGAGAGAAATTCACCCCCAATGGTGCATGGTCACGAATGATTCCTTGTCCTCCATTTCTCCATCCTGTTGGAATTTGGGGCATGTGTCCAGCATACTTTCCAAGGTGTGAGGATTGAGATTCAAATTGCAGCCCGTTCCCTTAATCACTAGGCTATGTGGCTAGTCCCAGTTCACCTTATTTTGTGACATGGATTACCATGACAACATGGCCTCCATTTCACATTTCTTACCTTTATAAACTCAAGTAATTAGATATTAATAGAGACTTCTCATGGGATCTTGGAATGCAGTTAAAAATTTTAGAATAGCTTGAAATGGCACCTTCCATAAAGAGAAGTTCCCAGTTCAGAGAACTATGGGGTGACATCTGATTTCTGTGACCTCCAGCCCATACCAGAGCTCCCACTGTACAGGGGATGTGATGGCTTTCCAGGACAAATCAGGCAGGAATTTTGTCTCAGCACCGGGGAAGTACAGAAAGTTTCTCCTCTGTCCTCTGTTCCCTGTCTTCCCCATTCCAGGCTGGAAGGTCATGAAGATGGGATGCTGAGACTTGCATAGAAGATAGAGTTTTAATACAGACAAGGAATCATGGCCTCCCCCATTGAAAAGGGCCAGCGATGCAGACAACCTGCCTGAGATATTACTGAGATGGGGAAAAGAGGTGGGGAAAGCACTTGGACCAAGTGTGTTTGGCAGTGATGGCTAGAGACAAATCTAGTAACTTACTGATCCCATGCTGAATTTGAGCTGTTCCATAAACCAGCTAAAAACAGGAGAGAACGCCCTTAACCATGATCAAGCCTAGTCTCTAGCAGACAGGTTGTAAAAATTAAACACTGTAAAGAGTTAGTTTCCAGTGGAAATCTATGTTTACAATGACATGAAAAATGCAGTCATTGGCCTTGGCTTACATGAAATGATATGGCTGGATTATGTTAGATGTGGAATCACGTTTGGGCATTTCCCACAGACATGTTGCTAAATGGTCGTGACTCTGACCTTGATCAACCTACTGCCTGTGATATGAATGACACCCAAGAACTTAACACCTTTACTCACTTTATGAAGACAGTACAATGATGATTCAAATTTAATTGTATTTCCCAAACTAGACATCTCCAAATTCCTATTCTTTCTTTTCCTATATTCCCTAGCATGGCAACTTAGTATTAAGGACAGAAATACAATGTTTTCTCAGACTGGTTCTTTTTTCTGCCTCAGTTCATAGCCAATCAATCACAAGTCTGGTTGCCTTATACGTCCCTCTTACAGGTGTCAT